GACTCCCAGCTCTTGCGGTGACCTCCGGCAGGGCCGAGTGGCGTGACTCAACACCGAAGCGTTACCTGGTCCCCGTCTGCGTCTCACCCCAAGCACGTCCCGCTGGGACCGGCGCCTTGAGGTTGAGGTTTGAGTGCAAGGTCCTGCACGGCTGGGAGCCCCTCGGCCGCCCGCCTGCGCCTCGGCATCCTGCCTGACCCCCGCGGAGGTTTTCCCAGGGAAAGGGCCGATCCTGCGGCAAGGAGCGCGGCATCTCCCCAGCCGCGGTGCGAGGTTTTTAGCGGGGGAAGACACCTATGCGCTTGTTAGTTATTGCAACAACCTGAAATGATGATTTTTTGTACTCATCCTTTTTTTTTAGTAGATGCCCCCAGGACCGGTCAGAATGTGTTTCAAATGAAATGGAAATAGCGTTCTCCTCTTGTACTTCAGTTTTAATTACAAATGGATCTACGCTCGGTAAAAACAATCACGCTTCTGCTTGTAACTTAGGATAGTGAGCTACATCGCAAGCTAAACCCTGTTTTGCTGTGGCCATGGTACAGCGGCCAAGACTACATACATGATTGCGAATACTTTTGCAAAAAGTCTTTTTTCATTTGTCAACTGTTTTGTTGGGTTTTTTTTTAAATACAATTTTTTTAAAAGTATTTGGAGCAAAGAGCCCAAAGCTGTATTATACCTCAAAAAAAATGCTGCAACGCCCATGTGAGTAGCTGAAAGCACCCAGCACCAAGTGCCTTTTACACTCGGGCCCTCTGGCAGGGACCTGAAAGACAAAAGCAATACTTCCATTTTTTGTAGTTTTTAAGTAGTGAGATAGTGCTGTTGCCGCTCATCATAAAATAATCAAATGGGTAAAAAAAATAAATCCACAGTAAATCCAAATGGTTCAAATGGTTACAGCAAAACACAAATGTTGTTTTATGCTTTTAAAATAGCGTAGTGTACTGATTACCTCTGATTAAACTTAGTTTGGTTTTTTTTTTTATATAGTGTATTTATTAAAGACATGAGACTGGAATTTGTACCTCAACTGATGCATCTCATGATTTAATATATTCTGAACTTGATACTCTGCTACAAAATACTCACTTTTAGTACAAATAAATATTTATATGCATAACTAATTCTTTGTAATTTTTTTGGGGGAAAATTAAACCCACGTGGTTCATCTGGGGCTGCGACTGGTCTGTAGTGGCAGGAGCCCCCCCGGCCACGTTCCAGCCTCGGGTCAGGCGACGGCTGGACCAGCAGCGAGGCCGACCGTGGAGCCCCTTTCTTCTTTGGCCACCTCATCTAATTTCCCTTTTTGCTGTCTGGACTGTGTCGAGTCGAACAAGTGACATTTAAGAAGCGTAATAACCGCCCTGTCTTCTGCTGCCCTTCTGGGGCTCCCAGCACCCCCCTCATCCAGAGCACCCCGGGCTTCACCCTCGGCTGCCCGGTGGCTGCATCCCCGGCTCCCCAAGCAAGCCCCTGGCCCAAACCAAGGCAAAAAGAGAAAAAAAAAAAAAAAAAAAAATCAACCCCAAGCACTATTTACAGAATTCAAACAGGGACACACTGGTGAAGGTTACAGAAAACAGATCAACAGAAACACACAGCAAGCAAACACAGCATTTATTTACCTGTTACTTAAGACTACTCCGAAGGTTTCCGTTTGTGCTGCCGTATCGGACTGGCAAGATGAGCGGCTTCACAGCCCGGGGACAACTGAGGTGAGGTCTGTACTGTACCCACAGAGTCTACCAGTGACCGCTATGGCTGAACAGGTCCTAAACAAATGATTTACCTGCTGGGAATGTCTCTGCCTCTTCCTGCTGGAGGATTTAACCTTTAAACCCCCAAGACAGACCCGTTTCACATGAAACTCTGCGTTACAACTCGGAGTTCAGTACTGGAGGTTAGACCACGCCTGTGGAAAGGATGCTGGGTTTGAGCAACTGGCGCTAGAGCCGCAGGAGAGGGGTTAGGCTCAGCCTCCGCTCTAAGGAGAGGCAGGATCAAATGGTGAGGAGCATGGACTAAACCGCTGGAGCCGTGGAATTAAAGCGGCCACGTTCCTGCGTGATAAACCATGCCGCCTCCCCAGCTTTTCTAGCCAGCCACCAGAAGGGTCCATGCTTCGACAAGGACCCCCAAAGCAGCAGCAGGAGTAGGAGAGTACAGAAAGTCCCTGGAAAAGCGGCAGTTACGCTCCAGCTGCAGTAACCGTCCTCGGGGCCGTCAGAAATAACCCCTTGCACTTCTTCAAATCAGTCCCTTGAGCCTGCAGCGCCGCATTACAGGCACAAGGTAAAGGCAAGAGCCAGGCAGCAAGCGAATAGCCAGGTTTTTGGAGAAAAAAATGCAAAAACGATCAGAGCTCAGCCGGTGACCAGAAGATGCCCTTGGCCTGTACAAACACTCGAGGGTTTGGTCCTATTCCCGTGCGCTCCGTTGACATTTAAACTCCCTCGAGGACAGACTTCACGCTCTGTTAAAACCCAAGACGATGGCATTCTTCAGCTGCCGGCACTGGATCCTGACCAGGTAGGAAGCACCTTGAAAAGAGGAGGCGCAGGACGAGCCGCGTCATTGCACCGGCCTGGCATTTCTCAGGTGTAACCACCACTGAGAGAGGCTGGGAGAATTTCAGTCAGAGCAGGCACTGAAAAACAACCGAAGGGCTGGAGAGCCTCACCTGGCCCGTGGCCAATTCAAACCTTCCGAGAAACCACCTGCCAGTAAGCAGCACTAGTTCCACGTTTCATTTTAAGGCTACTCCCTGAACTCGGGCTCTCCCAGAGTTCGCATTGGCGTACATCCCCGTCGCTAACGTGACAGGCGGGATTACGCATTCCCTGTCCCAGCCTTTTTAGATTTCCCTAGCCCGGTATTTCTCATGCACCTGATCTCCCTACGTCCATGTCTTAGAGCAAGACGCATTTACCACAGACTTCTTCCCCCATATCAAAAAAGCAAAGTAATTGCTAAATTGTTTTTAAAAAGCCCACATTCGGTACCCAAGGAGATTAAATTGGGTCAAACTAAGACCTGCCGCACCTGGCGCGTGACATAACCAGTGTGCCAGACAAAAGGACAGCAGTGAGAAAGCCGTGCTTAATGGAAGTTGTCACCAGCACCCGATACCGTACAACAGCTGGCTCCAGCTGTCTTTATTTTACTTTGCAGTGCATTTCGTTTTACATCGTACATCGTTATCCCGCTTTCAATGCTCACCTTCCCTCCGTTGCTAGCAGAGCTGTGACGCAGTGTACCACCCCGGGGGTTTGAACAATCCCGGTTACAGATTTGTGTTGAATCAGTGCACAATTCAGAATATTATAAGACGGAAAAATCGAGTTATTGAAAACCTACTGACAATAACTTTACCAAAACACTTTTGCCACTTACATTTTTAACCCTTTGCCTTCATCGCTACATAACGTTACATGAATCTACTAAAACTGTTACCAGCAAGTACAGCAGAACATCGCTAAATCACATTTATAAACCTAAACCCCATGCCCTTCTCTTCCACGCTGCAGATCAGAGCATGTGACAGAGCAAAACATCACAAAACGCCCCCCGCGCCTCAGAGCTGTGCGTATGACACTTCATGGTACGATGGCACAGTGCAGCAGTGGGTCTTTCCAGAGGAGATTAAAATAGCAGCAAGCCCTCGTTACAACGCACAATAGATCAGAAAAAGCCACCATTTCAGAGAGCTTATAGTACGTGGGGCTTTATGAAAGACCGGTTAAGATTCTGCTCTAATTACTCACATCAAGGGAAAAAGAAAACCAGCATTCATTTAAAAAGCAGAATTCATACAAAACAAAAAGTATTCAAACATTTTTACAGTAGTTTACTATCTTTACTAAATGGCACCAGGTTTCAAGTGGTCATGTGAAAGGAAAAAATCAGTAACATTTCAAATTTCGCCTGAAAGTTCTTCTAGAAGCAGAATTTCTATCTTTGTATTTGCTGCTGAAAGGAAGAAGTAAATGTGAACTGAGTATCGACGAATCTTTCATCTATACATCTTCTGGTTTGGTTTGATTCAGTAAGTAGAAAAGATTTTCCATACTCAAGTTATCTACAGATTATGTCTATATATAAAAAAAAATAAATGTGTGGATATATACATTTAATACATACACACACACTCGTACATATATACACAAACTGGTAACGAATTGTCTCCCCTCCGCACCGGTGAGCCGCCGACCCCACGCACCACGTCAGAACCTGCTTTAAGGCTCCACAGTGTTTCGATTACGGGACAAGACACAGGCAGTTTGCTCTTGGTCTGGGCTGTAATTGTTCCACTTCATGATCTATTGTTACACTTCTAGTTGTGCATGACAAAAGTTCAATAACTTAGAATTTGTTGTATAAAAACAATTCCAGAAACAGAACTCCTTTAATTCAAGGAACATCCCCGGCTCCCACCCCCTGACATTGTTTTTGCTAACTGATTACAGAAGCCAAACTAAATCACATCAGAAACCGCAAACACACTCCTTTGTCTTAATCTAAACTAACGTGCATCAAAACGTTCTGCAGTGTGGCATCCTTGGATCTTCTCATCTTCTCAATTGCCCTGTGGAGATCCTGCTGCTGCACAGGCCGAATTTCATCTTCGTCATGGCTTTAAAAGGAGAGAAAGAAGGGGAAAAAAAAAAAAAAAAAAGGCAAGAGAATGATTCGGGTGCCGTGTAACAGCTATGCAAACAATGAGAAGTCATCATTGAAAACAGCAGCTCTGACACGGATCCAGCATGACACTGGAAGCGTAGTCACCTGCAAGTACGGGAGATAATCAGAGGAACATCACAGCGAGGGGAGTTATGTGCATGCAAGAGCGTTACCAGCATTTAAACCTGGTAATACAATGCAGTAATATCACTCCTTGGTTCATGCCACCTCAAGCTTGACACCTTGGAACAAACAGTCTTATTTTAATAGTCAAAATGAATAAGGTTAACTTACTACTTGGGTTTTTTTTTTGTTGTTGTTGTATAGTGGCCATTTGTCAAGAAAAAGAGAACCTCCTGCTTTCTACGAATCAGAGCAAGGTTTTTTATACCTCTGTAAGTTTCCAACTCAAATCAGAAAATACAAACTAATCATCGGACAGCGTGTAGCACCAGGAGCACTCTCAGTTGCTGCTCCGCTATCGTAACAGACAGAATAAAGACACATACGTCTCTTCTTCACAGGCAGAATTGACATATTCCCTGACGCAGAGGAGTGCCGCATCCCGGCACATTTCTTTCAGATCACTGCCTGAGAAGCCGTCAGTCTCTTTGGCAACTTCTAGGAGATCTACACGCCTGTCCACCTGTCAAAAAACAAGAGGTCAGAGCATGAAAACTCTGAAGTCATTTACTTTGTTCATCAAGGACAAGGAACAGTCACCTCCAAGTATTTCTACCTGCCCTCTTTCAGTCTTAACTCCTTTTGAGGACTAAAAGAACATTATTTTATTAACTTACACTTTGAACCCTTCAAGTAGTTCATTTCATTACATGAATCTGATGCCTTATCTCATAAAACTCTGTAGCTGATTAAAAAAAAAAAAAAACAGGCAACCGAAAGCGAACCATCATATTGGTATATTCTGTTACTGACAAAACTCCTGTGCGGATTTGGAAGCCTACTGGATGGCAAGAACTGGATCACAGAAATAATGACCCCTTTTCCCAAACGCCCACACAACTTTCATGCAACGGCATTGGGGTTTTTTTTGGTAAAGGGCTTGATCAGACCCTAAGCGCATTTTTTTATCTGCAGACAATGAACACTACCCAACAGGTCTCCTTTCACAGCCACAGCCCTTTTCTTACGTTATTTGAAAGAGCGCATTGTTGTCTTCATAAACATGTCTTTTGACCAGCAAGGCTGAAAAAAGTTCCCGTCACATTTACTGTTTGTTGTTGTCACCTTTCAGTGCAGGATAAGAACTTCCAGAGCAGTTGATCACTACCTCAGCACCTCAGTTGTCTGCTGAGTTACTGAACAACTGCTCCTACTTTGTACAACCACAAAACGGGGAATTTGGAGGCAAACTAAAGTGTCTAACTCCATGCACTGGATCAGGTTGAACCCTCTTCAGCCAAGACCTCCTCTTTATTCAGTCCGTTTACAGAGTCTCCGATAACAGCCCCTTCCAGCATGTTTTCCAACACATCAGTATTTCCTTTTCAAAAAGATAAAGCCAAACTAGTCTAACAAAAGGTTGAAATTCTGGGATGACTTCTAAGAGGGAAACTATTCTGTGGTGGTGAAGGCAAAGCCCCAGGTGTAATCTTTGCTGCTTCCAGCTCCCCCTTCAACCCACGCGCTCTCCAGGATAACCCAAGAACGCGCCAACATCCACTGAGCACCCTTCCAATTCCGCGCCGTTCCTCCTGCTTTTCTTGAAGGACAAGGGTTATAGTGATACTGTCCTGTTGGCTCCCATCTTGAGCTTGTACTTGAACCCCAGCTCCCTGACCTACAGCTCAGCACGCAGAGCCCTGGTTTGGGTCTGGAGTGAGCCATCTGGCTCCCCGGGCATGGAAATAAAGGCAAAAGCGGCGGCTGGCTTACACCAAAGTGCCTCCCACAGACATTATAGCCTGGCTGTCTTAAAGCGCTTTGCTTTAAAGCGGGATCCTGCACACAAATACTGAAGCCAGTGACGGTCCGCTGTGGCTCTGCAATGTATTTGCTCACCATGGGGCTGAAGGCCATCAAGAATTGAACGGAGCAGCTCAGCTGGCTAAGAATAAATAGAAAATGGGTGTGTTGCGTACAGGTGTTAACGAGGATTTCCCTTGGAGTGAGAAAGACGAATCAAGATATCAAGACAGGCAAGGAAAATGGAGGGCATGACTACATCTGTCATGTGAAGGGCTGCCAGGAAGTTTGTCATCCTGGCTGAAAGCAAGCTGGGCTTCAGAGATCCAATTCTTCCTCCTATGGGATAACCAATACAGGCTGATTTCCCCCCCCGGCCCTGAAAAATGTTCTTTCTGTGGCTGTGATTCACTGCCAGATGTTTGATATACCTTGCATTCTTTCAGGTCCATATTCAGGAGCTGATTTAGGTTTTTGCTGAAGGCCTTAAGGCCAAGGTGCTGCAACTGCCAGGCCCAGCTGCTGAGGCAAAGGAGCCACAGAGTCACTTGCGTGCAAGGGCTGGGTGGCTGTAGATATTCAGGGAGCCTGTATAAGGTCTATTATTTGCCATCCCTCCCTAACAGCTCTTGAAGAGGAATTTGGGTCTGAGATCCCGGCTTGCAAAAGACATTTTACGTTGTTTTGAGATTTTCTGCAAATAGGTCAGCTCTTCCTCGACAACTCCTTTCGCAGCAGTTCCGTTTTCACACCTATGTCTAGTATTTTGCAAAAAAGCCAAACTGTATTCTAATCCTCTACAAGCAATTCAAAATGACCACTTGCAAAGCAACCTCCCCAATATCTCAGCCATTTGCAATGATGAGCTGTGATTTTTAGGCCGCTTAAAAAACGTAAATTAGTTTTACGATAGACCTCAAACAAGAGACACTTTGCAACATTAGTTTCAAGAGAGTTAGTGCTGCAGACTAAATTTGGCAGGAACCTCTGATAATATAGGCGCCATCCCCTGCCCACAGACAATACCAGATGTGGTCCCACCTACCCCTTCCCCTCATCTTGGGATGCAGATGATGACACAAACACCATACAATATTAGTAAAAACGTCCATAGTAGTTTTCCTCTAAAGGAAATATGAACTACGGATCAAAGTGCAAAAAGCAGCACTGTCAAAAAATGTCATTCTACCTTTCTTGATTTGAGCCAAGAGACTGTAGAGAGTTAAAAAAACCCAAGAAATCAGTGTATCTTCTCCCTGCTTCACAATGTCTTGAGATTTCTTTCACTAATCAAAGTGATTTCAAAACATGATTCACCTCCACCATCTTTAGAGAGATAAGTACATTATCTGGTTATATAACAAGAAAATGAAGACAGAGAAATTAAGTAATTTTCCTCGGAGACGATGATTCACCACAAAATCCAAGACTGCTGCTCTGACCGAGGCTCATGCTTAAACCAGTAGGCACATCCACTGTTTCCCTTTAACGTCACAACCTACAAAAGACTCCCAAGTTACAATCAGAAATACCCTGGCAGGTAATCTGTACCTTGCTCCAAGACAGTCAGTTATAAAAGATGTTTTCTACAACTCTAGAGCTTGCACTCATGACAACAGTAATTCAGCAAATTAACCATTAAAAGAAGTCTACTTACATTTTCATTTTTCAAAATCAGCTTCAAGATAGCTTCTCTTTGTTTCAGAGCCTTAAACAAAAGAGATTAAAGTTATTAGAGTACAAAAATAAACATACGTAACATCTATCTCAATTTTGCACTGCGTGGGCTTTCAGTCACATACACATTTACACTAACTACAGGGAAAAGGAGAAAGGCACTGACAGTTAGTCTTACTTTGCCCTAAGTGCAAGCAGCTGTCTCCAAAGATTTCCCATCATCTTTAACGGTGGCCAGACTCTCTAGATCTAGGGGATGCTTTCAGTACTTGGCTAAATCAGATGAAGAGGATAAACTGTTCTGCTTAAAGAAAAATAATAATAGATTTAAATCTACAGATGATGCTCAGGAAATTTTAAGCAATATAAATCACATACTGCAATGAGGTTACTGAAAGAAACAGCTAAGTCCTGAGCGTTTCCTTACTAGCAAGGTAAAACACAGGCACCAAAGAAACTGGGTTTTGTGTCTCCCAAAACCAAACTTGTCCTAGATTCACTTTCATTGTTAAAAAGGGAAAAAACTACCCGATAGATACTCTGGCAGCTGAACCGTTGATACTCTCTCTCAAAAAATACTTCCATTTCCCTCTGCCTTGCAGAGGTATTTCTTATGAGTAATTTCAGGCATTTTCATCTCAAACTGAGTTATAAAATCTGCAAGGCTTTAGCTACTCTACAGTGATACTACCTGTGCACACTTTCAATCCACAGCACACAAATTATCTTGGCCCTCAATAAAAGAGCTGTGACCGATCTTGGTTGTATCACAAAGTCCCGTAGAAAAGAAAAAGAGACAAGCAGTAAGTTCGTAATACGGCTGTAGTGGGGTAAGGAAAATTATGTGCCTGTGCCCTAAGTGACACCTCCTGTTGCAATTCTGACCCCAGGAGAGGGAGCCAGCCCTTGTAATATCCTGAGGCACTGTTACCTGCGGATAATTCATCCTTCTAACGACAGTTCTAAAGACACGATAAAGTACTCAAATACACATCCCTGCCCCTTACTAATTCAAGGAAAATGTGAAGATGAGTAAGGTGTATGAAACCCTATAAGCAGGCATCGCAGAAAAGCGGTTACTAGGTTATAAATGCTTTGTTTTGTAAAGTATCCACCCACAAGGAGTGAAAGCCAGTTCAAACAAAATGGGTCTGGGAACACAACTGCTCTCTTGCACAATCAGTAAGAGTTTTACTCGTCCAGTTTTGTCTCTAAGTTTCTACAAAAAACGAATAATGAAGGGTATTTCTGTAGCCAGAAGGGAATACTGACAACCATGACTGAACTCTTTATAATATTGATATAAAAATGCCTTGTGATACTGCGAAGTGTTCGAAGGCAACTAAAATACCTTGAAAAGGATGGCAGTAACAAAATTTATAGTAAGGGTAACCTTGTGACGGCTGGTCTAACTGATAAAGACCTTAATTACTGCCTGTCTGGCATAAATCATACACAGAATAAAACCAGTTTTCTAGATTGCTTGCTGTGCCTGACTGTGGAAAGGTTTGAGCAGCATGTAGGTAGGCTTTGATGTGCAGATTTCATTCCCTCTTCTCTCCTTGAAAACTAACTACTGTGTATCCAGAAGGTATAAATGGTATTCAATATGAACCTGCTTCTTGACACTTTCCAACTTGACTGCCACTCTCAGCCATCCGTAGGCAAGTGTGTGCAATCATTTTGGTGCTTTTTGTGGTTGTTTTCAAGTTAAAACTAAGCTCTTTCCAGAGTGCCACTCCATTCTTACAGATGAAGAAAATGGAAGCTCTCAGAGCACATGGTGTTGTTTCAGATAAAAGACCCAAGGAATCAAGATTTCTGTCCGAAACTTCACCTTAAAAAGACAAGTTATATACGTGCTTCTAAAAAAACTAAAACCAGATCAAAATAATACAGTATTTCTTTGAAAAAGAAGAGACGTGCGTTTCCTGGCTGATAAGGCACCTGCCTGTAGTTCAGCCACTAGGCACACTGTTCAGGCAAACCTGGCATGACTTACAGGTTGGTTGATGTGAAACCGGGTCGGCATTCTTCTCATGATGGCAGAGTCAAGATCTTGAGGACGGTTGGTGGCTCCCATCACTATTACCTGTATACATCAACAGAAAAAACGAGTCAGCCTGAAACCAGCTTTTGAAAACATCGCGGTATTGGAGTTTCAAAACCAGACATGTGGCTCCTCCACACTTTATCAAGAACATCGACATTTAAAGATGTTACATAAGGTTTCTTGGTACTGATTTCAGCAACTGGATTTAAACAAGTAGCTTAAGAGAGCATTGGTACCCCAGAGTACCATCTGGGTGGAGATTTTTACGTTAGTCTGAAGCCTTCTGAGCCCAATTTGAATGTTCAAACTCTAAGCAGTAACCCAAAGCGTCTGATTATAAGTCTTGGCGATGTCTCTCTAGTTCCTAGTGGTCTGGAAGGAACTGGAAAGGAGATGTTTTGATAAGGTATTAAAAAATGTGGCATTTTTGCGCTGTGTTGAAAAAAGAAAGGGAATCAGTTCACCAGGACGACCAAACTGGCAGCTTTTGCATGCATTAAAATATTGTTTCTTTTTTTTAAGCATAAAAAAAAGGCATTAAAAGTCACTAAGAACCTATATGCACTGGTATACTCTAACAGCAGCGCGTTAGATGTGCACAAGCCAAGTTCAATACAAGGAGAGTATTTACCTCATTTGACTGCGTTCCAGTTATTAGTTTAAGAACAAATTTACTTCCCATTCACATCAGCCCTGTTCTTTCATTTGTTATTGTAAGTTATGTACATTGTAAATAACCCAGTCACGAAAGTGACAAATGTCAGGGAAATTAATCTCCTATCAATACACTTTCCTGACATGCTTCTGGTCTTTTGTTTGAGGTCACTGTTCCGCAGCCAGCCCTGGCAGCTCCAGCAGCCCCTGGCCAGGCTGGGTTGCGTGTCCCGGAGCAGAGTCACCATGCCACCTAGAGGTTTAATTATCTGGTGGTAAATTGCTATGCACAGAAAAAGCCAAAAGGTGCATTTTTCACCAGGCCTCTGGCAGTCTTCACCTTCTAGAAAGCGTTATGCGTGCAAGCACTTGGGGCTTGCCTGCGTGCCAAACACAAGGTAATGTTTGGTTGAGCGGCCTCTTGCAAAGAGGGACTTTTGACAAGGGCCTGGAGTGATAGGACAAGAGTCAATGGTGTTAAACTGGAAGAGGGAAGATTTAGATGAGAGATTAGGAAGAAATTCTTCCCAGTGAGGGTGGTGAGGCAGTGGCAGAGGTTGCCCAGAGAAGCTGTGGCTGCCCCATCCCTGGAAGTGTTCAAGGCCAGGTTGGATGGGGCTGTGAGCAACCTGGTGTGGTGGGAGGTGTCCCTGCCCATGGCAGGGGGGTTGGAACCAGATGGTCTGTAAGGTCCCTTCCAACCCAACCATTCCATGCTCACTGTACCCATGCTGTGATTCTCTGGGGTCTGCACTGAGGCCCAACACTGGTCCCGAAGTGTTGCTCCCTCTACGCTACCAGAGTTGAGGAGCCTTCCCAAAACTGGCTTTGTCCCTAGGTTCTGCAAGTGTGAAAATGTGGCAGTATGGGGTTTCCAGACTTGAACCATCCCTGCAAGCATCACAACTCTGTTTTCCAGGCACTGTGCCCCAAGTTCCCACCAGACTCAAGACTATATCCTTGGCAGGTTTAGCCCAAAGCTGAGCATGCTTTACAGGTGCAATCAACACAGGAACAAATAACATTCATCACACCTACTTACGATTTCCTCCTAAGCATTTGGAATTTTTGTTACTGTAACAAAAGCCAAATTTAATCCCTACTCAAAGGAAATTTCCTTGGCAAGAATCAGACAAGCAACCCAAAGCTCCCAAGTCAACATTTGTAATTAACAAAGGAGCCCAGCGAGCTGGCTGTCAAAAACTGAGACAATGCAAATGTCAAAACCATCGCCTAAAGAACACTTCCTGAATTGCAATGACATCTCGGGGAGGAGCCTGAAATACGGTACTGAAACAAAACAATCCTGCTGAAAAACTCCCCAGAAACTTGAATCAACCCCTGCAGTGTCTCCAGCCAATTGTCTGCATTGCATTTTACTTCGGTGGCTCCCTACCCTGCAGAGGCATACGAGTGAAGGACAAGAGTGACTTGTTCAGGCTCTGTATACTGAACTCAAGAGTCGGGTAAGACGACATATTGTCTTACTGTGGGGGATGAACAATTTGACTTGCTCCAAGAAGCTGTCAGTATATTGGGAAAAAAGACAATACATTCAAACACTGGAAGAAATATGTGCTTGCAAGACCATGTTAGCTTCCAGTTATGCGTTCATATCATTGGCCTCATTAATGGTAAGCAAACACTCTGCTTTAAAGCTCCTCAATATATATATGTTCATTGTGTTCTACTCAGTTTTTTAAAAATCCACTGAAAAAACCCCAATCTTTAGCACAAGCTTGAGAGGGAAGGAAAAGCAGATTTTACAAAGAAAGAACTAACAGAGGTCAGAGCATCGGAACTTCACAGAAAAACACAGATTAAAAAGGCTGAAAATTTTAAAATTGGAGAATAAACATCCTTTTAAAGGCCTTAAAAAGATTGCTCCAGGTGACAGTTCAGAAACATACCAAGCAGGCTTTCACCTATGCTATATTCAAGTAATTTATTTCATAAATGTTTTTTGTTTGTTCGCTTTTGCAGCACCAGCAGCTTTTGTATTTTCTTTTTTTCTCCAAAATACAATACTTCTGTTGAGATTACGGGAGGGGGATGGAAGCGTACAGGAAAAACAGGGTGGAAGCACAGCTCCATTTAACAGAATTTGTCTTCTGATAACATCAACTTCTCCACCCTTTCAGATTAACTCGAGAGTCTAGTGCTTGCCTAATGCTAGTCTAATGCTTTTCTGGAAACAAACCAACCAACCTGCAACTGGGATGAATACTCAGATCTTTCAATATCTTTCCTGAAATCAAAGATTCACTTCACCTGAAGAAAATATTGTTGACAAAATATTTTTCAAATCAGTTTAAAAACTCTCAATTTTGACAGCTCAAACTATACAGCTATATTATTGAGACTTGAGACACTTCTGAAAATAATACCTCTCAATCAAAACGAAAATACCTACAAAACCAGTCTTCTCCAGAAGAAAAATCATCTATTAATGTAACTCATCTCATTCCCATAATATATTGGTAATCACTGACAGGTAAAGAAAGTCTTTTGGCAATTATTACTATATACAATCTGCTACTCTTCCCAAAAGGCTCAATGCGCAATAACCAAGAGGGAAGAATCACATTACTTTTCCTGTCATCCTTTGTACTTACTTGGCAGTTATAATCGGTGTCCAGTCCGTCCCACAGACTCATGAACTGAGCTTTCATCATAGCTGTAGCTTCATGGTCAGAACTCGATCGACTTCGTAAGAAGGAATCTGTATTGAAGGATTCAGTAAAGCAGTTTACTTTCAATCCTGCCACAGAAACGATGCTGTTTGATTTCCCACGTGCAGACTCGTGCTATTCTCTATCTTACAAATACTATTTGTCAACAAATGAGAAATATTTCCTACGATGAAGAACAGGAAAGTAGGATCTCACTGTATTTTTAAGCACATCCTTTAAACACATTACACAAGTATGTACCTATCACACGACTGTCCCAAATCTTGCGCTCAAAATTTTCCACTTTCCTGAATTCATGGAAAGTGTTAACTTGCACCTTAATTTCTCATGCAGAGATGGAAGCATTCAGAGCCTGGCAAGCTAGAAGACACCAAAGCACAGGAGAACAGCAAGCTGCAGGACAGACGTAAAGTAGGCTATATACCTTGTTATGCAGAGCTCTAATAACTCTGCTAGTGGTTGCTTAAAGAATTTCCAACAGCTAGAAAAACACCACATTTTTCACACCTATACAAAAAACAGCTTTAAGAACATAGGCCCTTCATAAACCTAAACTGTGGAAGGGGTAAAAGCTTCGTCAGGCTCTTTTTCTGCAAACTGTACAACTCTAAGAAGTTCTAGTGTTAGGAGACAACGAGCAATTTTAACTGAACTGCTCAAGTTTTCAGGGATTTAAACACTAACGTGACGAGTCCAAACGCATTGCTGAACAACTGGCACCTTAGCGGTCTTTCTAGCTGAACTTCCCCTCCTACTTCTTCAGCCTTATTAAACGATTATTCCTGAGCTCTCCCAAACTTGTATTTTATTTTCCGTTATGTGTCCTCACAGCAGAAGCACTGAAGTGTATTTGGTGATGGGTTTCCTGAATAAGTAGTTTCCTCGACAGAAGAAAAGCTTTCCTCATGAACCACCTTAGCCCAACCAAAAATAAGTAGCAACTTCTTCTACTTGTAATTTCCTCCACTAACACGAGGAAGAAATACACTGTTTTTCCTAATTTGCCACTATTACTTTACAATACTATTTATATTACTAAACCTTGTTCCATTATCACTCTTTTTAAGGAAAAGATGACAGTAGATCAATACACAAATCAACTTGAACCTACAGTTTAATGTCTGCTATAGTTACTCACAAAAAAAAAGATCAATTTTTACCTATTTCGTCAATAAAAATGATGGATGGTTGGAGCTTTATAGCAAGGGAGAAGACAGCAGCAGCCAGTTTTTGAGACTCTCCATACCATTTGTCCGTCAGTGTCGAAGGCTGGAGATTAATAAATCGACAACCTGCTTCTTTTGCTGTAGCTTTGGCGATCAGCGTTTTGCCACAACCAGGAGGGCCATAGAGAAGTACTCCTGAAAATGTAACGGTGTTAATGCTCTCTATTCACTACAGAAAACATGCACTGGTACAACAGACCTGATAATGCCCAGGCTTGTATTTTATCCAAGTTTTAAAAGATAAAAAAAAAAGTTACACAGTTTTCCATCAAATCAAATACAGAGTTATTTAAGGTATCTTTATTACAAAATTAAAGCTAAGGATATCTAAAAATAGGTACGGTGAAATTGAAGGGAGACTTTTGTCTGAAAGATGACTGTTTTATTACTGTGACTATAAAGGTTACGTAAAACTAAACCCCTATTTATTTCCTGTAAGCATCTGACAGGCCCTGTTTATAGCCAGTTTCAGCCTTGCTAATAAAACTTAGCATGGGGTGGGGGAAGGAGCCCAAGAACATTTTAAACCCATTACCCACAATTAAATACGACATCTCATATTATTTTTAAACTTGTCATAGTGAAATAATTCACAGTAGTGTTTTTCTAACATAGTTGCAAAGAAAACAATTTAAAGAAAAAAAAAATTAAGTCAAACAAGCCTGAAACACAGAGGATTACTAGGTGGTGTTTTTTTCTTCTGTTTATGTGACTGACAACCACAAACATAATTACTCTGAAGCAATGACTTCCTATTAACACACAGTGCAAGCCACTAATAAAACTGGGGAGCCTGCCCTATAGGGAAAGTCTGCTTTAAAAAGATAAATAAAAAATAATTTTTTCCTTCAGCTTATTAGATCATGAAATTGAAGTAATTTTCCAGACAGCTTCAATTTGTGACTTAAACAGAAAGTAGCCTGGAAAAACTAAACCAGTTACAAAAGCTCTTCTTTTTCCATCACGTAGGACACAAAACTGAGACGGTCACAACAGATACATTAATTATTAATTAATAATTTTCAGAGACTTTTCAGAAGACTATTGTTTAGTGCTCTGAGCCCTGGACTAACTTTGGCATTTTGTCCAACATTTTAGGTTCAAATTCTGCTTGTTTGCAGTAACATATAGCACATATGGCTGCAAGCATTCCAGCACAGAGAGTCCAACTTCTGTTTTACTGTTGGAAAGATAATTTATCACCTGCCGGTTTCCTTACTGCCTCAATACTGTGCAACTCAACTCCAGAGAAAATCAAGGGATCTCCAGAATAAAAATGGGATCTCTGTCTCTTTGAATGACTGGAATTTCTAGGACTAGAACTGAGAGACATCTGCAATATTAGCTCACACTGACGTCTTATGTTTTTGACAAACGTTTATATGACATCGTAGAAATGTTAACCAAGTGTACAAAGCTGTACGGCAGAGTTATAGCTCACCTCTGTCAAAGGCCAAGACTGGATATAAGGAGAAAAAAATAATCAACAATTTAGGCAGTTAAAAACGCAGGCTACACAGATTAGTGCACCAAAATGTAACATCAGTAACTGAAAAGCAACTATTGCTCCATTATTAAGACACAAATTACTCACTAGATCTTGATTTCATGGCAAGAGAAGAGGAAAAACCTGAGGGTTTTCCCTGGCGTGAGTCCTAATGGTTGCACTTTGGACTGTTAACCCACTTCCTCTTTCCTTTCTGGATAACTGTAACTTCCCCCCCCCCCCCCCCAACCCCCTTTTTTTAATACCAACATATAAATCGGTAACATTTCCTTCCTACCTTTTGGTGGCTGTAAGAGCCTGGAATTCTCAAACAAGTATTTCTTCTTGATGGGCAAAATGACAGTGTCTTTCAAATCTGTAATAACATCATCTAAGCCTGCAATATCACCCCAGGTTACCTAATATGGAAAAACAGCATTAGAAATGGTCATCATAGTCCCTGTCAAAAAGAAATATCCACAAGCTTAAAAATAGTGCAAGGCTTCAAAAATAAAAAAGACAAATGATCAAAAAACCTCTGCTCTCAATGATGCAATTTTAGTTTTAAATTACAGAAATATTTCCTATGTATTTCCATAGATACATATATGACAAGTAACGTAAACCAAAGTCAAAATCAAGATCTTCCACGTCTGAAGTGCTTTCATTGGAGTAACACGGAAAACAGTTTCTTACATGCATGCTAAGTGGGTCTACGAGATGCGCGGCAATACTCATTTCGTATTCAGTAAGCTTGACATTTTTCACTCCAATTTGCTTCATCAGTTTTTCAGCCTGGGGGAAATAAAACGCCAAGAAAAATGGAACGCTTGATTAAAAAACTAGTTTTTAAAGAACTGCTATTTGGAGTCTGGAAAGCTTCTCTATAAGTCACATCTGAAAAGAGGTTAAGTCTTTCTGAAGCAGAAGGTTCTGCTATTTCCTAATGACTTGCTGTCACTTGAGTGAAACTTAGTCATATGTCTCAGTTCCCATCAGTGTCACACCAGCCCTCCCACCCCCAAATCCACAAGTCACACATTATGACCTGAAAAACAACAAAAGGAACATTGAAACACAGGGTTTGCTGTTCAGAACAGGTTTGCACACACAGAGGTAACCTCAGTACAGAATCACTTCCATCACCTCTACAGGAGCTTCCGAAGCTGACACGGGTACGTTACACGTAAAAAAGGCCCATTAGTCCTTACCAACTTTGTACAGGATTCAGGTGAAAAGCCTGCAACTTGTTATTAAATAGAACTCTAGAGTTCTTTCACATGCTTAATTATCTTCATTCACAACCCTGCAAATAATACACACACACTTTAATGGGAGATACAATTGTGTTACTATAATAAGCATGCCTGGCCCCCAAACCTCCACAGCACTGTATCAAGGAGAGATGAATATATTTTTGAGGCAAAAAAACCCCAAAGATAGTTCACAGAAGCCAGTCGATTTTTTTCTATGTATTCATGTTTTCTTTTTTCCCAATTTAAAAGGGAAAGTCATTTGTTGTGTCAACAAGCTTTCACAATTCAGTTTCTCTTTATACTCAAACTTGCGGTTAAGTCTGACACGCTTTTGGGATATTGCAACCTCTTATATAACAGCTGACACTAGCACAGATTGTGAAAACTGATTTTTTAAAGTGAGGCCAATTTTTCAACCAAAGATTTCATTAAAAAAGAAAAACCACCCAAAACAGAATTAGGTTGCTCCAAACTGCTGTTTGAATCTGTGAAATCTGTGTCAGCCAGAGGAAAAAAAAAAAATTTAAATGTTGCAACATTTCCTTCAGTACTTTCCAAAGGAAACATTTAACTTGTGGTTCTGAAATGCACCTAAATCTTTTCCCAGAGCATTAACCCTCATGAATCATTCTAGTTCAACACAAGGAATGAGGCTTTTCACTTTCTTTCTCCCCTTTCCAGAGTATTTTGACTGCTACTGGGGGCGAGGGGAGAACAGAGGGAGAGGGACAAAGTGCAAGCTATTCTTAAAAACGCATTTGGACAGCAGTGTTCCTCTTTGTCATGACTAACTACAGTCCCTGCCTCTGCCATTAAGTTGCCAAAAAGCAGCAGAGGATTAAGTTATTTCTGCTCAAGGTTTTAAAAAGGCAAAAGACTGATGAGAGCATTATTTAACGTGACTGCTGCTTAGCAAAGTTGTCAGAAGCAGAAATGGCACCGGGACCACACACTCGCAGATAATTAGAGACAACACTGCGCTCCAGTTCAACAGTTTTTCCACCGCTTCAGGCTAGAAATTTTAACTTGTTATAAAATGTAAGCACTGAAAACACTAACAGCCTAGATCCTGAGATTTATTAAAAAATTATTCTAGGGTTTTTGACTATTCCACGTGCTTTTGTCAATTATTTCGTTGGTTATTGCAAGACCAGTTTTCAGGTAGCATATTTCTCTACGAACGGTAGTGAACAAGACAGCATTTCACAGAAATATTTACAAATAAAATCCTACCTGTTTCTGAGCTTCTACTTTTTGCTTTCTGGTCGGATCAATGGCATCAACCATCCATTTAATGGTAAAATATGTTACAGCACCAAATATGGTTAAACGAAAAATTAATCCGACCACTTCATTCCGGCTCAGGGGACGTGAAAATGCTTCGGCATGGACCATTTTGCCTCTCAACACTAAATGTAAAAAAGTGCCGGGAGGGACAGAAAGAAAGAAAATTAAAGCTGAGAAAACATCTGCCTTATATTTAAACACCATTTTATAAAAAATATTTCCCATGCACACAGTGGGCATAAAGCTTACCATGAAGTTATAATGAAGTATCTCAACAATAGCACAACCCTAACATATAAAACTCTGTAAGATTAAGATGTGCAGCGCTGAGGGTAACAATGGTTTCATTTCCACTTTCAGTAAGCAGAGAAGAAGCGGCAGCAACGATTTGAGGCCTTACTTGATGACTGACTACATGCAAAAAGGCGCCCTGATTTCACTCTTCCCTCAAGAAATCTGCATTCCTTTCGGCTACACAATATCCTAATAAAGATTACTCTATTTCAGTGCCAAGCTTACATTCCCATTAAAACTGACATTTCATGACTGTTATTGACCCAAGAACGCTAAGTCATGGAGACAAAGGTTATTATTATTTAAACAGGGAGTTCTTTTCCCGAAGAGGGAGTTTAAAGGAAAGGCACCCAATTGCCACATTAAGGAGTGATCAGTGACTTGTATTTGAACAAAATGAGGTTAAGAGCTGGAGCCTGCACCTAGCAGAATATATTTTGAGTTATTAATATCCTCGGAAAACTGAAAATGCTGGATGTGGCACACAGCTCTCAAGGGAAAAGGCTGGCTGCTGTACGAGCCAAACCCAGAAAGTACAGCACCTTCAAGTTAAGGAAGCATGCTGCAGAGAGGGAAAAACTCTTCTTAAAACATTAAAAAATTACTTATAAAATCGGGGCCCTCTTTCCCCAATCTACTTTCTCCTCAACTGGCGGGGTTTCCGCTTGAGAATCCCCAAAGCTCTCCTCGTTCACTGCCCGATTTTCCTGCTCCAAGGGCGAAATCAGTGGCAGTTCCTTTGGCAGCTTCCAACACTCCCTGGCTGGTCTCCAAACTGAGCTGTCAGCCAGGGAAAAGCTGGACTACCTACAGCCAAGATATCCTTGAATTCCCCCTCACTTGGCTGGCGGCTGCATTGTATCGACCCCGTATTCAACTCAAGGCAATGCCATACCACAGATTCTGTTTACAAGGATTCGGCAGACTGGAATTAGGAGAATCGCCGTGACATGCTTACCAAAAGACATCAACGGCTCTCTACTATATTCCAGTGCGGATCACTACAACAGTCTTGAGTTTTTTAACTCTTCATTCTCTGTTTAGAAATTTAGAAATCAAGACTGTTGCTGT